TACTCCGTGGCTGACGAGAGGCCCTCGCCCGAGAGCGGCCCCACATCACGGGACCCCGTGCTGAACCGTCTCGCCTTCAGCCTCTCCCAGAATATAGTGCTCCGCGGCCGAAGCTCCACCGGAGCGTCTGTGCTGTATCTTCATTTGTAGAACGGTGCATTCTGAAAATGAGGATGCGGGAAGGCACCCGCCCCCCCCTGATAGACTTCAAGACCGACGGAAGGGCGCCCCCCCCGGGCGCGGGAGCCCGCGGCCCGCCTGGCTGACCCGAGGGTGTCCGCATGACCCCCGGGCTGCCTTGGATGATATGGTTGTGGGGGCGGGGGTGTGCTGAACGGGTGTCCCGTCCGCCTGGAGCGGCACCCGTGTCAGATCGGAAGAGCGTCGTGTGAGGATGCGGGAAGGCACCCGCCCCCCCCTGATAGACTTCAAGACCGACGGAAGGGCGCCCCCCCCGGGCGCGGGAGCCCGCGGCCCGCCTGGCTGACCCGAGGGTGTCCGCATGACCCCCGGGCTGCCTTGGATGATATGGTTGTGGGGGCGGGGGTGTGCTGAACGGGTGTCCCGTCCGCCTGGAGCGGCACCCGTGTCGGAGCGTAGGAAGGACTGGTGGGTCGCTTTGACGGGCACCATGGCCGGTCGTCTGGCGGGTGGCCGGGGAGGGGGCTCGGTGAGGCTCGCCGGGCCGCGCGAAAGGGATCGCCGCCACCGGGGCGCGCATCCGGGCACGGGCCTCCAAGGGGCCGGGGCACATGCTGGCCGTCTGTTTGCGTGTGCCGCCGGACGTGGGGTGTGCTTGAAGGGCGGCGGGGAGGGGGGTCGCCACGCGCTTCGGCAAAAAAAAAAAAAAAGAAGACGAAACACAGGCAAGATGCTCGGCGCTGATCCGCGGGAGGCGCGCGACCTCGGCCCTGCGGACGGGCCAAAGGGATGTGCCCTCGGTGCGTCCAGCGCCGCGCCCTGCCCGTGGGCGAGGGGAAGAAAGGAGGGAAGGATCCGAGCGAATGGGCAGCCATTGGCCGAAGGAAAAAAGAGCGCGGGCGGACGCAAGCCAGCCCCCCTGGCAGCCGGCGCGGTGCTCGCCATCGGGACAGGCAGCCTGCCGGGGCTGCCCGGCCCCCAGGCCCGGGGGGCAGAACGGCCCCTCAACCGCCGGAAGAGCGGGGTCCTGCGGGAAGACGCGCCGGAGGACACCGTGGCAGGCTGTGCCCTGCGGGGCGCCTCCGCCCCGCCTTACGCGGCTGGGCGCGCGCGGTATATGTCCTTGCGTGTCGAGGTGTGGGGCCGGCTGCGGCACCTCGGCCGGGAGATCCGCATGTCCCCACCCCACCAACCGGCGCCCGGGCCAGGGGCCGGACGCCTGCGCTGGGGATGGTGGAGGGGGAGGGGAGAAGTGGCCGCGCGCGGCGTGGTGCCAGCCCGCCCCCTCCGAGGCGCGCGCCCGGCTGCCGGCCAGCCAAAGTCCCAACGCGCGGTCCGCCCCCCCGGTGGCAGCCGCGACCAGTTGGCGGAGGTGGGAGCCCACACGCGTGCCATGATCGGGCGGTCGCACGCGCCCAAGCTGGCTCGAGCAGCCTCCGGCGCCGGGGGCACTCCCCACCGCCCCGGGCTCGGGAGCTTCCCCCGCTCCGGGTCCCGGCGGGGCCCGGGGCGGAGTCGCACATCGGCGCCCCCGATATCAGGCGGGACCCCCATGTGCGGGGAGGGGGCAGCGGGCGCACGCCGAGCGCCCGGCGCGCGGCCATCCGAGGAGCACCGGGCCGGCCGGTCGAGCGAAGTGCCCTGGAGCGGTCCGGCCAGCCGGCGTGCCTGCTTGGGCGAGAGGATCGCGCCCCGGCGGCCGAAGACACCCTCTGGGCCATAAAAAAAAGGGAAGCGGCCCGCGCGCCGATCCCCGCCGAAGGAGGCAGCCGCGTCGCAGGGGCCATGCACAAAAAGGGAAGAGCGCTGCGTCGACCGGGAATCGAACCCGGGTCTACCGCGTGGCAGGCGGCAATTCTACCACTAAACCATCGACGCCGTGGCGCTGGCACTTCGGCCTCCAGGTGGCCTTTTGTACCACCGGGCCGGCGACCAGCGCGGTGGCCCCTCGCGCGGGCGGCGGCGGGGCAGCCACCCCGCCGCCGCACCAAAAGCCCGACAAGCAACGCGAGACGACGCAGCGTGTCCAAAACAGCCGGACGGGGGAGGACGCCCGGGGCAGGGCCCGCGCCTTGCGGGTCTGGCGCACGGGCGGACCGGCCGAGAGTTGGCCCGACGCGGGGCCGAGGCAGCAGGCCCAGGGGGAAGTGGTGTCACCGCCGCGCCCGGGGCCCGAGCGCCCCGGGAGGGGAAGGGTCTCGTTGGGAGTTGGGGCTCTGGACCCTCTCCCGGCCGGTCCAAGTACCCCTAAGCCCCCCGGGCGGGCTGGGGAATGTCAAAGAAATGCCCAATAAATAACAAACTGTTCATTGTCTACTCCGCGAGCCCATCGCCCGGGGGCCGGGACCGGACAGCCTCCCAACAAGCAGGGACTTGGTGGAGGGGTGTATGGCCCGGGGCGGCCACACCCGGAGCCCCCCGGATTGCCGCCCACGGGTGGGCCTCTCGGCATCCGCCTCGCCAGGCGGCCGGGTTCTCCGCGGAGATCGTGGCCGGCGCCGGGGCCGCTCTCCCTGTGTCGATCACCCTGGCCGCGGCTCGTGCCCGGGGCAGGCACGCCGGAGGGAATGCGCCCCCGCCCGGCGGGCTCTTGCGACGCCCGGCCCTCTCGGCCGTTCGCGGCGGTCACGCAGGCCCCTCTCGCCGGGCTTGTTGGGAGCACCAGCTGATAATCACCTCCCGTAGGGGGCGGGAAAAGGGAGGCCCGCGCGCCTGCCGCCGGGCAAGTGCAGCCCCCCCCCCACCCCCCGCCCATCCCCCTCTGCAAACTGCTCGCCCCCCCCCCCCGCCCCCCCCCCCGCCCCCCCGCGCCCCGCCCGATTGCCGCACTCATTTTCGGCCTCCGCCCCGACCGACTCGCCCTCCCGGCCCTGCCTCCTTCTGCCGCCTGGTCCCCTCCGGCACCGGAGAGCAAGTGAGCATGGCCGACAGAGGCGGCGGCGGCGGCGGCGGCGGCGGCGGCCGGCCGCGCACGCCGTCGCTGCCGACCCCAATGATGATGTTGATGATGATGATGCTGGTGATCCTTCTCCGGCTGCCGAGGGCGGCCCCGGCCGAGGAGCTCTACCGGTCCCCGCTGGCCGTCGGGCCGGCGATCCTGGCATTCGGTGGCGACATGTCCCCCTCGGGCGGTGGCCCCTCCATCCGGTGGGCCGCGTCTGCCAACCTCCAGGCCAGCCTCTACAACCAGAAGAGCCTGCGCCTGGACGTGCTGTCGGACACCCGCTTCGGGGGGGCCCTGGCGCCGGAGCCCGCGCTCACCATCGGCCCCGAGCGCAACGGCGCATCGGCCGGCAGCCACCGCGCGCTGGCCTTCCCCACCACCGCGGGGCTGGGCTACATCCAGCATACCGACAACAAAGTGGCCATCTACCTGAACGGCGACAAGCTGCTGGGCGATGTGCCGCTCCCGCACGACATCTTGGCGGCCTACCAGCAATCGCAGTTTACCGTCGACCTGTTGGTCCTAGACCGGCACAGCCAGGCCTTCATCCTCTACACGGCCTCACTCGGATACCTTGTCTCTATGGACGGCCCGCCGGATGTGCAGGGGGTCCAACCCGGCGTCCGGGCGGTGGTCGGCTCGCGCAACAACATTTACACCTTCACCGGCATGGATGTCCTTGTGCTGTTCAAGCTCAGCGGCGCGGTCAAAAGCACGAGCCACGCGGTCGATGCGCCGGTCACCGACATCGTGGCCCTGTGTCCCAATCCTGCCACCGGGCAGGACATCGTGGTGGCGCTGGCCGGCCAGGAGCTGTACTTCCTCCAGGTGGACATCAATCGCCTTCTCACCCGCGTGCATGCCTTCACGCCGGCGGCCGGCCCGGCGACCGACCGGCGCCTCGTGGCGCCCGAGATCCACCAGGGGCCCAGCCCCAGTGTCTGGCTGCTGCTCCTCGACCGCCACGCGCGCCAGGTGTGGCGCGTGACATACAGCGCGCAGGGGATCACCGAGACGGAGCTCCGCTTCCCGGGGGCCACCTTGCCCACGGCCGGCTTCCTGGATGAGCTGCATCTGATTCGCCTCAGCCGGCCGGCCGGCCAGCCGACCCCCTGGCAGGTGGCCAGCAGCCGGCATGTGTACTCGCTGGCGGGCGAATTCGGCTGCTCCACCGACGAGACCATCGTCTGCCAGCACGGCCTGGCCCCCCCGGACACCGGGTTCGCCTGTGCCGACGGCCGGGCCCTGACGCCCTTCGCGCTTGACGGGTACATGTGCGGCGGCTGTGCGGCCGGCTTCGAGGCCATCGCCCAGCCTGGCGGCCCGCGTGCGTGTGTCCCCGCTCCCTGCCACCCCTTCATGGTCATTGCCCGGGCGGCGGTGGTGCCTGCTGGCGGGTGTCCGCCCGTGTGGGGGCCCCCGCCGCCGGCAGCGCGGCCACCGGGGTCGTTCTTGCCTGCGCCCGCGCCCCCTCCCCCCCCCCCCTCTCGGCCCTGCGGCCTGGCTGTCTGACCTCCTCGCGGTTCCCCTGCCCCCCCCCCCCCCCCTCCACCAAACATCCAGCCGACTGCCGCCGCTGCCAGCAGGCGGGCTGCCTGACATGCTACGGCGGCCAGTGTGCCGCGTGCCAGGCGCCGCGGCTTTTGCAGGTGGACCCGCGCTCCGGGGCCACGTCCTGCGTGACCGAGTGCGGGCCCGGCTTCACGGCCGACCAGTCGCGCTGCTGGCCGCGCGACAGCACCGCCGGCGGGGTGGCCCTGCTGGCCACGCACACCTGGCGGCTGGCCTCCCAGCGGCAGCTGGTCTTCCGGTTCTTCGCACGCTCGCGGCTGTCCGTCAAGCAGGGGCTGCTGTTTTTGGCCCTGACCCCGGAGCCCACGTCGCTGCTGGGCTTCCTGGCCCCCGGGGCATGGTCGAGCGCCGTGGCCACGGTCCTGCAGCCCGACCAGCCGGCCATGGCGGCGGCCAGCGGCTCCACGGCCGACCGGCTGCTGGTCGACACGGACATCGCCTTCGGGAGCTTCCTCCAGGGGCGGGTGGACTCGTATGCCGAGATCGGGCCGGTCCGCGGCCAGTCGCAGGTTGGCTATGTGGGGTTCTTCTGCGGCGACGGGCTCCTCCGGTCGGTGGATTATACATGTGGCAGCGCCAACACCAGCGGCTGCCTGATCATCCCCTCGACGGCGACTCAGCTTTCCTCGTGCGAGTCCATGCGCCTGCTCCGGGAGGAGCCGCCTCTGGTGTCGGTCCGCACGGCCGGGCCCGGGCCACTGGTGAGCCTGTACTTCCTGGGGGACGATGAGCGCCTGGGCTCGGCGCTGCTGCACGGGGCCACCGAGCATCCCAGCCTCTTCCCGCCGGTGGGCCCCGGCGAGCCGTGGCTCTGGCGCACGGCCGGCCCGATGGCCGTGCTGCTTCCGCTGGCCCTCGGCCTGGCCGGTGACAGCCGGGCCGCGGCCGGGGACCTGCCCGGGGCCCTGGCCGCCCCCCTGCCCGACCCCTCGGCCGGGGCCAGCCACCTGGAGCCGGTGTTCCTGCCGGGCGCCGGCCCGGACGCCGCCCCTCGCGAGGACTTCCTGCTCAGCTGGCTGGACTTGGGCTCGTCGCCGGGGGCGTGGCGCATCCGGCACGTCCCGCGGGGGGCCGGCCCGCGCGGGTCCACCTCCGGCCTGGCAAGCCACGACCAGGTGCTCGGGGTCCTGCCGGCGGCGCCCGGGGCGCGTGCCCGGACGCTGGCCGTGCGGCTGTCCGGGCCCGGCGTGCACCCGGTTGCCCTGGTCCTGCTGACCGAGGCCCATGTCGGGGTGTCGCTGCTCCGGTGCCCGTCCGAGGCCACCGGCGGGGGCTTCTGCTGGCCCGGGCCGGCGCGCTTCCACCCGCTGCCGGAGCCCCTGGCCGCGGCCGAGCACCTGACCGCCGTGCTTCTGGACGCCCCGGCCGACGGGGCGGCCAGCCTGCTGCTGGGCCCGGCCGGCGGCCAGGTCCTGACCCTGAGCATCCGGCCGGAGGACTGCCCCGAGGGGACCTTCGGGCCTGGCTGCCTCGCCTGTGCCGAGGTGTGTGCCACGTGCAGCGGCCCGTCCGAGCTGGAGTGCATCCGCTGCAAGGCGCACCTGGCCGGCGCCGAAGCCCGGTGCCTGAGCGCCTGCCCCGGGGACATGGCAGCCGACCCGGCGTCCGGCCAGTGTCCCTGCCCGGTGGGCTGCCTGAGCTGCACGGCACCGGCGCCGGGCCCGGCCGATGGGTACCATTGCACGGCCTGCCACCCGGGCTGGGTGCTGACCTCGGCGCCTGAGGCCGGCTGCCAAGCCTGTGCGCTGGCCTGCGCCGAGTGCTCGGTGCCGGCCGACCCGCTCGCCTGCACTGCCTGCCCCCCGGGGCACGTCCTTCACCGGGGCAGCTGCCCGGATGAGTGCCCCACCGGGTTCTGGGCGGACGCCGACAGCGGCCTGTGCGTCGCCTGCCGGGACGGCTGCCAGGCATGCTCCCCGGGCGGCGTCTGCACGGCCTGCCTGGTGGGGCACCATCTGGAGGCTGGCGGCTGCCGGCCGTGCGACGCCTCGTGCGACCGGTGCACCGAGGCCGGCGCCTGCACCACCTGCCGGAGCAACCTGGTGTTCCTGGCGACCGAAAGCTCGACGCCCTCGCTGTGCGGCAGCACCTGCGCCCCGGGCGAGTATGTCGGCGCTGGCCGATGCGCCGCGTGCGATGGGTCTTGCGCCCTGTGCGCCCAGGCGGCCGACCGGTGCCTGGTGTGTGCGGCCGGCTTCCGCTGGTCCGGGGGCCCGCCGGCGGCCGGCGCCACCGGCACATGCGTCCCCTGTGATCCTGGGTGCGCCTCCTGCAGGGCGGACGGCTGCCTGGTGTGCGAGGCCGACCTCGTGCTGGGCCCCAACGGGCAGTGTATCGCCGACTGCCCGGCCGGGATGTTCAGCAACGGCGAGTCGTGCCAGCCGTGCGACGTCAGCTGCCGGGCGTGCGCCGGCGGCGGGGCCGACCAGTGCACCGGCTGCGGCGCGGGGCTGGAGCTTGTCGAGGCGGCCCCCGGCGTGGGGGCCTGCGTGTCCGGCTGCCCGGCGGGCCAGTACCGTGCGGGTGCTGATTGCCTGCCTTGTGACGGTGCTTGTGCCACGTGCAACGGCCCCACGGACAAGGACTGCTGGCGGTGCGCCGGGGCCGTGCTGCAGGGCGACGACTGCGTGCAGACGTGCGCCGCCGGGCATGTGGCCATCGGCGGGCGGTGTCTGGCCTGCCACGCCTCGTGCTCCGAGTGCGCCGGGGTCCGGAGCACCGAGTGCACCGGCTGCCCGGGGGACCTGTATCCTCTGCCGGCCGAGCAGTGGCCCTCGCGCTGCGCCGGGGCCTGTCCGGTGGGGTACCACACCTCGGCCTGCGGCTGCCGCCAGTGCGCGGCCCACTGCTCCAGCTGTCCCGGGTCGCCGGACACCTGCGCCCTGTGCGAGCGCGGGTGGCTGCTGGCCGGCCCGGCCTGCGTGGCCCAGTGCCCGGCCGGGACCTCGCCGCAGGGCGGCCTGTGCGCCTCCTGCCACGGGTCCTGCGGGAGCTGCTACGGCCCGGGGCCGGAGCACTGCCTGACGTGCGGTGAGGACTCCCCGCTCCTGGTGGACGGCCACTGCCATGCCACCTGCCCCGAAGGCACCTTCCGGAGCGACCAGGATTGCCAGCCGTGCAGCCCGACCTGCGGCACCTGCTCCGGGCCCGGGGCCACCGAGTGCACGGCCTGCCCGGCGGACCGGGTCCTGCAGGATGGCTCATGCCTGCTATCGTGCTCGACCGGGCACTTCGCCGAGGCCGACCGGACATGTCGGGCCTGCCATGGGTCCTGCCTGGCCTGCGCCGGGGCGGCCGCCGACCAGTGCACCGCATGCCCTGGCCAGACGTACCTTGACCGGGGCCTGTGCGCGGGCGTCTGCCCGGCCGGCACCTTCGGCTGCGGGGTCACGAGGAGGTGCGAGCCCT